GATTCGGAAGAGTGGCCTGCGCCGTGACGTTGTGTCTGGATTCTGACGGGGCTCGCTCTGGCGGGTCTGTACCATCGCGGCCTCTCCCCTCGCAGGACCTGTATGTGAACGCGGGCGGCGTGACCGTTTCCTTCTTCGAGTGGCTGAAGAACCTCAACCACGTGAGCTATGGCCGCCTGACCTTCAAGTACGAGCGGGACTCCAACTACCACCTGCTGATGTCTGTCCAGCAGAGCCTGGAGCGGACCCTTGGGAAGGGCAGCGGGGAGATCCCCATCATCCCCTCCCCGGAGTTCCGGGCCAGGGTGGCAGTAAGTCCAGGCTTTTCCTGGGTAGCAGGCACTCTCTGCTCGTTTCTTTTCCCCTGGAGGGCGGGGGCTGCTGTGGCGCTGGGAAAGGGCAGCCTCCCTCCAGAGCTGTGGGCCAGATCAGTGCCGGTGCAGGGACAGAGACCTTCCTTATTTGAGTGCAGTGGGCACTGATGTGGTAAAAGCCAGGCCAGCTCTGAGGGCTGCCCAAGTTGTGCCCCTGCTGCAAGGGGCCCGTGGGTCTTTGCCAGGGTGCAGAATTACCCGGCTGCAGCCCTGACCCCCACTCCCCACAGAACACTGCTGCGCCCGGGGATGCACAGAGCTGGCTCTGCACCTGGTGTAGGCCCCTCATGTGCTTGGGGTTCCTGGGAGGACCTTACACCAGCCCCTTTGTCCCAGTGTCACTGGTGTGGAAATGCCCTGGGACTGGCCTGTGCAGACTCACCGAACGGTTTAAGGACAAATGGCCGGAAGGGTGAGGGACAAAGGCGGCCCCGCAGGCTGAGCCCCATGGCAAGTAGGGGGCATGCCGGCCTCTTGGCTGCAGGCAGCCTGCGCTTTGGCTACCTGTAGCTCAGCCAGCGGTTGGGATCCCAGGTTCCTGTAGCCAGGGCTGTGTTGGAAACCCAGTGGTGCGGGCTTGGCGCTGGGTTGAGAAGCCAAGGCCGTAGGGACCAGCCCTTGGAAAGGGGGGCCAGGTGCTCAAGCGGCTGGGGACCAGTTGGTGTTAGAGGAGAGCCCTGCAGAACTGACTGGGTCAGTGGCTGGGCTTAGCGTGGGACGGAGAACGAGATACAGTGATCTGAGCCCTGGGCCGACAGGGTCATGCTGCTGTAAATCGGGGGCAACCCCTGAGCCAGGGAAGTATCCCCGGAGAAGCAGCAGGAGCACCCGGCCACAGGGTCAGCCTCATGGCCACCCAGCCCGCTGCTAGCCCCTCCGCAGAGCGTGCTGCCTCACCCCGAGGCTCTGTCTGGCTCGGCAAGGCGGGTGATGCTGACCTCGTCCCTGTCAAGGGGTTCATTTGGTTTCCCCTTGCAGGGGGCCTCAGAGAAGGATATCGTGCACTCGGGGCTGGCCTACACTATGGACCGCTCGGCCCAGGTATGTGCCTCTGTCCCCCAGGTGTCACTGCAGCTTGTGCTAACGAGTCCCAGTCCTCTCCCTCTCTGGGTATTCACACAGGCTTGGGAGCTGCTCCGAACCGGGGCCCTGGGGATCAGTCCCAGGGCTGCGGTTTGTTCCGTTCCCTTCAGCGTGGGCGCCCCCGGGTTGGAGCCCAGTTCGCAGCTTTTCCCGGTGTAGCCCTAGAAAAGAGCTTCCCTTGGCCGTGGCGCTGTGCCGTTATCGGCGCGCAGGGCGAGGCCTGGCAGCTCAGTCGCGATCTCAGGGCTGCTCGAACCACAGCCCCTCCCAGGCCTCACCCACTTGCGCTCTCACTGCTGGGCCCGGCCGGGGAGCGTCTGAGCAGGCTGCAGACTCGCCCTGAAGTGACTGACAGCTGTCACTGCCCTTGTCGAGGGCTGGGTAGAACTTGGGGCTGCCCAGACTGAAGGCCGGGGGGGTTCCCGCTGGCGATGTGCTGCCGTGGGGTGCCGTGTTTAGCCGGCCTGCGTGCGCTCGGGTGGCCCGTACCCAGTGCAGCGTCGGGGGCTCTGGGTGTGTTAGCAGCGCTAGGATCGTTCCATCAGACTGCTCCTGTGACTGGGAGAGCCCTGCTGGTGCAGCCCCGAGCCTGCCCGGAACAACCCTGTCTTCCCAGCACGGCCTCTCCGCTGCCACTGAAACCCTGGCTTTGACCTGCCCCTCGGGGCCTCCTCCCAGAAGGGCTCTTGCTGCTGGAGCTGCAGAAGGGATGGTTATGGGCCCAGGCTTGCTGGTGGCTGCTGGATTTCACGCTGCCCCCCAGCCCGCCCGGTGCCCGGCTCAGCCCTTGTGCCTCTGCGCATTGTTTGTTTTCTAGCAAATCATGAACATCGCCACGAGGTACAACCTGGGCTTGGACCAGAGAACCGCTGCCTACCTGTGCGCCATCGAGAAGGTGTTCAGGGTGTACAATGAAGCTGGGTTCGCATACTGACGTGAGCTGTCCTCTGGCCTCCCTCCCTCCCCGGGCTAAGGGCACGGCCACCTGCCATGCCTGAAACGCTCCCGGAAAGAGACTTGGGGGGGGCGGGGAGACGTGCTGGTGGGGGGGTCAGGGCACGTTTGTGCCTGTGGCTGCAACCTCAGCCCTCCCGCACTGCACGGGGAGCCGCTGCCGTGGGGTCACCTAGTTCTGTGAGTGTCACCCCGGCAGTGCATTGTCTCTTCATAAACCATTTACTGGGAGCAATGCCCCCCCACCCCCAGGGTCTCAGCATTTCCCTTTGGGGGGAGCGAGGGGGGGGCTGTGCGTCACGGCGACTCCAGCTCCGCCCAGACCCCTTGAGAGCCTCTTGGGCTTTGGGTGCAGCTGTGCTGAGGGCGCTCGGGGTTGCCTGGGTCAGCTGCCTTCCCTGCCCATCCTTGCAGCGTGCACCACCTGCCCCCCGCGGCGGCACCGGTGCTCTCCTTGCCTGACTCTGCTTCTCGGGCTGCCAGAGCTCGGGAGGGCAGGGTGCTGGTGACATCCTGCACCTGCAGCGGGCAGGCCAGGCGCGGAGGCTCCTGCAGCATCCAGGCCTTCATGTCATTCACATGCAGCGAGCTCCTCTGGAGAGGGCAGGCAGAGCTGCTGGGCTTCCTACAGCCGTACAGGGCAAGCCACCCCCCAGGGCCTTTCCGCGTGGTGATACCCATAGCGCTGCAGCAGCCAGTGAAACTCCGAGCGCCCCAGACCATCCTGGGCTGTGTCGCTGACTTCCTGCTCGTTGGCTTTCATGGCATTCCCACCTGCCTCTGAGCTCCCCCCCTCCGGCTGTACTCCTGCAGCCCGGCCTGCCAGGATGTCTCCAGGAACGGTGAAGGGATGGAGAAAACAGGTTCAGGGTTTTGGGTGGGGTTTTTTTAATGGAAATTTTGGGAAAAATTGAAATATCTGCCGTAGTTACTTGTTTGTCAAAACTAAACGTGATTTGCTCTTTAAGAACGAGCAGTGTAGGGTGTAGAATGGAGGGAGCCCCCAGCGTTGCTTGGTAGATTTAGGAAATAAGTATAAATTCTTTCGCTTTGATGGAGTAACGATGTCGCGTGCGGCTCGTGTTCGGGGGGAGCCGCAGCTGCACAGTCAGGTGGATTTGTTTTTGCCCGATGGCGAATGAGAAAAAAATCGGAGATGTTGAAAATAGAAAACATCAATATTGGTGTCAACTCCGGGGAAGGTCACAGCCTGTGGGCTCAGCACGAGTATGGAAATAGACCCGCCCTGCCATCATCCTGCAGCCCCAGAAGGAAGTGGTGGTTCTAGAGAAGGAATATCCCCATACCCAGATCCCAGAGCACACGAGTAAGGAACAGCAGGCAAGTTGAGTATAGAGCCACCCCGGCCTCTTTAACGGTGCACGGTCCGCCCTGTGTGCTGTCGTTCTAGACAGACCTCACCACCGGACAGCCCAGTGTAACTGCAGCAGTTACTGAAGTGCTCTTGGAAGTGCTGGCGTAGCTCGAGTTTCGCCGTCTTTCCTCCCTCTTTCACGGCTCCTCCGGAGAGAACATTTCACACAAGTTTCTTTTCACTTTTTCCCCAAATTTCCAAGGTTTCCATACTCGGCCTTAGAAGAAATGGAAACCCCCTGTGTTTTTCTGGGATGTGTCCATCTTTTCCCCTGGACTCTGCCCTCTCTAGATCTGTCCCCCTGCCACCTGAGAGCAGGGGGCCCCTTGGGTGGGAAAGGGTCCCTGTGATTTTGGCACCCCTGTGCCATGCTGCTGAGTGGGTTTGCTGGCTGGGGGGCTGCAGGGAGCGGGTGGCTCCTGCACACTGAACCAATGGGCAGAGTCTGGTGCGCCCTTGGCTGTTGCCTGTGTCCTCCCCGGCCGCTGGCAGGGTTTTCTCCTGGGGCCCTGACTGCGTTCCAGGGCCGAGGGAGCCCGTTCTCGCTCAGGGGCAGGGCTGGGCACCGTGTAACGGCGCCAGGAGCTGGGGCACCAGGTGCTGCGGGGAGCTCTGCTGGCTGTGTGCAAATGCTGCAGAGGGGATTGCAGGCATCAGCGAACCCGTTGTGTGCTGGGGTTGTTGGCTGCTGCCCCTTCCGGTCTGTGCTGGGGACGGTGACCAGCAGGCCTGGCTTGGGGGGTGTAACATGAGGTGGGGACCCAAGGGCGAGTGCCCCTCATCGAAGGGCAAGTGCCCTAGGACTTGCTAAGGGTGGCTCGTAGTCCTCAACCCAGGTGGGTTGCCCTGGGTTACCCGTTTTCACAGCCTCACCCGTTCTCGGGCTGGCTGGCGTTTGCCGAGTCAGGGATGATGAGGGCCCAGAGCAGCGGCCCTGCAGAGGCAGCAGCTCTGAGCTGTGTGAGGGGCTGCTGTGCGGAGCGGAGAGGGCCATGCGCACCTCTTGCGAAGGCCCAGCTCAGATCCTGGGTGTGCGAGAACCGTCCTGTTCCCAGGTGCGGGACCTTAAAGGCAGACCAGGAGTGAGAGAAGGGCCCCACCTCTGCTCCTTGTGCATGGTGTATTGGAGACCACGAAGGGTTAAGGAGGATTTTTCTGAAGGGTCGCCCCTCACGTGCTCTTGGGACCTGGCCCCTTGTCGGGTGGCAGTGGGGTGCTGAGCTCTGCAGCCAGCACAGGAGGGGGGAGCATCATAGCACCAGGAACTTTCTCTGTAAAGTCACGAACCTGCATCGGCCAGCCCCCCCGCCCCCCACTGGCACCTGCCTCACGCCCTGGCAGCAGCCATGAAAACTCCCTCACGGGCTCTCAGGATTCCTCTGGCCAGCCCCTCTCCTGGAGCCCTTCACGGGAGCGTGTAACTCCAGCCACGGGGCAGAGGCAGGGCCTAGGGGCACCAGGACTCCTGGGTTCTGGGCCTGCGGGAGGCTCAGCACGTCACTGCATAGCCTCATGCCTGCTGCTCCCCCCTCCCTTACACAGGCAGGTAAGGCCACCTGCTTCCTATGGGCCATGCACCCCTTGGGGCTGGGGTCCCAGACAGCCTGTCCCCTGCCCTGTGGGAGCTGGGACCCATGGCAAGGGGGGGGTGGGCTCGGAGCCAGCCCCCCAGAGTGCACCTGGCCAGGCCCTTCCCCCTCGTGCAGCTGTCCATGGGGCCTCGTATTGAGCCAGCCCCTGTCCCCGTGCCCCAGCCGTGGGCTCTGGTGCTGGGAGGGGATCCCTGCGGGGTGCAGACTGGGGGCGCTCAGAGGCTGCGGTGCACCTGGAGCTGCCGGCACGAGGTGGGGGCTGATCCCCAGGCCTGCAATGCCAGGGGGCGGGGGGGGCGTTGCAGCTGGTGGGATTTTCTCCCACGTGGGGGTTGCTGAGTGTGCACCGAGCAGGGGACGGGGGCCTGGGGGGAGTGCTGTGCCCACTCCAGCTGTGGGGCAGTGGGGGCTGGGGCCCTTTACCTCAGGGCAGCTGTGGGGCTATCCCTGGCTCCAGAGTCTGGGGGTCTCTGAGTCACGCTCCCCCCTGCCCCCCAGGGAAGAGGCCTGTTCCCTAGGGGCTGGGCTGAGCCCAAACGCCCCAGGCTGGAAGCAAGTGGCTGGCGCCCCTTCTGGGGTGTGACCCCCATGCCCAGCCCTGTGGGTTACACACCGTGACCCTGCAGGGGTTCTCTCCCCCCCCCCCCCCCCGCAGGAACAACAGACCCACACCAGCAGTGACAGAGAAGATCTGGCTTTATTCACGGACGGAGCAGCTGTGTCACTGGCAGCTGCCCCGTGTTGCACACGGGGGGGGGATCCATGCCACGTCACAACATCGCATCGGGGGGGGGGGGGGCACAAGGGCATAAACCATCCATCAGAATATCAAAAAAAGTTCCATGAAGACGGGCGCAAAATCACCGGGAGGCGCGTGCAAGCAAATGTACAGCAGCCCCAGGGGCGCGTGCCGCACCAGGGCTCCCGCCGGCCGGGCCACTCGGCTCAGTGAAACATGCTGGGGCCGGACACGGGGCCAGCCGGGCTTATGGCGCTGGGAGGGACGCAGGGCAATAAGCCGGGCCAGGGGCACGCGGCGCGGGCGGCTGCAGGACGAGTTTCTCTTTACACTACAGGACACGATACAGCAACGTGGCCTCCGGCGAGGCCCCTGGGCGCGGGGCTGCAGGAAGAACTTGTGACTTAATGGGGCAGGGGGTCCTTGCCATCGCCCCCTGCGCTGGCACCTGCCTGGGGAGAGGCCGGGGAGGGGCACAAGGGGGTATTGTCATTATTGTGCTGCTGGTGGAGGTGGCGGGGTGGGCGCGGCCATTACGCCTCCGGCTCGTACTCCTGATAGTCCTGCGGGGAAGAGAGACCGCGGCTGGCGTGAGCTGGAGACTGCGCGGTGCCAGGGCACCCAGCACGGCCTCCACATGGGGGAGCGGCCTGGGCAGGGGCTGCCCCAGGGCCCCTGCCTCCAGCGCGTGCTGGGGACCAGCTGCCCTGGCACCTCTCAGCAGCCACCGCTGAGCTGCAGCCCAGCCGGGTGCCTCAGGCCAGGCAGTGACGTGGGTCCAGCACCAGAGACTCGCTCCATGTGGGGCTGTGGCCCTGGCTGCATGCCCAGAAGCCTTTGTGCCAGGTTGGACCCCCCCCCCCCGCCCGGTCTGCACAAGGCAGCGGACCCAGCTGGCACAGTCTAAGTGCAGGGGAGAGCAGCCTCAGGGCTGCCCATGGAGACGAGACCCGCCGGGCGCAGAATGCTCTGACCAGGCCCTGGCCCCAGAATGGGCCCCGCCCCGGGCTGCTTTGGGGCCAGGCTGGGCAGTGCCCGCCATGGGGGCATCTCCTCAGGCTAGTGGGTGAGGGACCGAGCCTGCCCCGGCCAGCGGCCGGAAGGCTCATGGGTGACAACCTCCCCAGCGCAGGCTGCTCCGCCCTGGGGCCGTGACCAGGCCTGGCGCCTTCCCCCTCCAACAGGGCAGGGTGCGGTGTGAGCTGGGAGTGCGGGGCGGGGTGTCCCACTAGGCTCAGCCTGACGTCACCCCCCAGCCGACCGGGTGTTACCCAGCAGAGGGGCCGGGGAACGGGGCCTTTACTAGATCCAGCCACAGAGAACTGCAGCCCCACTGGGCCCTGTGCCCCGCAGCCTGCCCTGCCCAGGAGCTCCCGACTCCAGGAGGGGCATGGGGCTGGGCTGGGCTCCCATCCCTGGCAGCGAGCTCCGGGCAGGCCGCTCCCACTGCCCCACGGTTCTGACCCCCGGCCTGAGGGTGTCTGGGGAGGGGTCTCTGTACCCAGGGCACCAGGGACACTGGGCCGCACACAGCCCGGGCAGAAGGGCTGCAGCTGCTGTGGGCCCAGGGCCTGGTGCCGGGGGGGTGGGCACCAGCGTGGGTGGTGCCATGGGCCAGGTGAGCCCATCCCCCGGGCATCCGGGCTCCTGCCCTGCAGAATCTGCCCCACCCACCTGTACCTGAGGCGGCTCCTCGTAGTTCTCACCCTCTGGCTCTAGCAGAGGCTCAATCAGCGGCTCCTCCACAGCCTCCTGCCCGACCTCCTCAGGCTGCAGGGGAGAGAGCGGCATCGGGGCAGCCCGGGCTCACTGGCTCGTGCAGGAGACCGAGCCAGCTCCCTGAGGGACCCCAGCATGGCACCTCCCTTGGGTGCCACAGCACAGGGCCCAGAGATGCGCAGCTCTGCCGGTGCCGGGGGGAGGGGCAGCAGCAGGGGTGGGGGCAGAGGTGTGGGGGCAGCAGGGCTCTGGGGCCAGGGGTCGGTGGGGGGCAGGAACACCCATGGGGGGGCAGTTTGGGCCATTTGTTGCTCTCCTTTGTGCTGTACGTGGGCCCCGAGGCACTGTGGGTAATAATACCACCCCACTGCCCCCGCAGGGAGCCCATGGGCTGGCCCTGCCCCTGCCCGCCCCCTTCCCCCCATGCCCCTGGCCCAGCCCCACCTGTCTCCAGGTCCCTGCAGCCTTGAGCTTGGCTGGTTGAGGGGGCGGCTGGGTCCTGCCCGCGCTGCTGCAAGGAGTGGGGGGGCAGAGGGGCTGGGGGCAGGGGGACAGGGCTGGGTCATGGGTGGGGAGCCAGGCTGGGCCGTGCCCCTCTGGGCCCCTTGGCTCCAGCCCCGGCTGGCTGCCCCATGCTGGCCTGTGCGACGGGTTTGGGCTCCTCGGCCTGGGGGCCTGGGGGCAGCTCCACCGGCTGCCGGCCTGTGCAGAGCCCCCGGCTGCCCCCTCGGGCTCACAGCCCCTGCCCCCAGGGGCGGCTCAGGCTGCCGAGGTCTGGGCTCAGCTCGGCCCCAGCGATTGGCCTGGCGCAGCCACGTCCTTCCCTGCCCTCCCCTTGCAGCTGCCCACTGCCGCGGCCTCCTTGTTTCAGCTGTTGCTATTTTCGGATAAGCTGGAAGCAAACGGCTCATTGTGGCAACTCGGCTTGTGGAGGCTGCAGCTGTCGGGCACCTCACGGCTCGCACGGCTCCAGTGACAGCAGCCACGGCAGTGCACATCCCCGCACATGCACCCCCCCCCGCATGGCCTCGTACACGCACACACCCACATATGCACGGCCTCGTTCACGCACACACACGTCCCTACCCATCCCTGCACGTACACGCACCCACGCACGGCCTCGTACACGTACACGCACCTACACACGGCCTCGTACACACATGGCCTCATACACACGCACACCCCCATCCTTATCCTTGTAGACACACACGCACCCACACACGGCCTCGTACACGCATGCACACGTCCACACACATCCCTGCACATACACACACCTACACACAGCCTTGTATACACACATGTCCATACACATCCCCACATGTACACCCCCCCATGCATGGTCTCGTACACACACACACACACCCATGCACGGCCTCGTACATGCACGCACACGGTCTACACATCCCAGCATGTACATGCACGTAAGCAGAGCCTTGTATACAAACACATCCATACACATCCCCACATGTACACACACCGCCTCGTACACACATGCATACGTCCACACACATCCCTGCACATACACGCACCTATGCACAGCCTTGTACACGTGCACACCCCCACGCACGACCTCTTACACGCATGCACACATCTATACACATCCCTGCACATGCACACACCGACGCATGGCCTCGTACACGTACACACACACGCACGGCCTCGTACACGCACACATCCCCACGCACGGCCTCGTACACATACACCCCCACACACATGGCCTTGTATACACACATCCATACACATCCCTGCATGTACACACACAAGAGCTCGTCCACACATGCACACGTCCACACACATCCCTGCATGTGCACACCCCCATACATTTACACACATCCATGTACGGCCTTGTATACACACACGCCCCCACGCCCGGTCTTGTACATGCACACACACGTCTATACACATCTCTGCACGTGCACACCCCCACGCGCGGCCTTGTATAAACACACATCCCTACACATCCTTGCACATACATGCACCCACGCACGGTCTCATACACGCACGCACACGTCCGTAAACCTCCCCGCATGTACACACCCTTCCACACGCACACAACCATGTACACACATGTCTGCACACGTCCATGCATGCACCTCCCCGTCTCCACCTGCCTGTGTGCGGATCCCAGCGCGCCCCTTAGGTACTCGCTGTGCACACCACGCGCCCCCTCAGCGATTCCTTTCCAGCCAGCGGGCGGTGCTGTCCTGGCCATGATGGGGGAGAGTCACCCCCCGAGCAAAGAGCCGCCCGCTCCTCCTGCTGCTCCCCCCCCGGCCAGGCCTCGCTCAGCTGGGGAAGCCAAACCAGCTGCACTGAGGGGCTCGGTGTCTGCGGGCGGCTGGGCAGCCTGGCCGGGGCTCAACCCGATTCCCAGTTGGACTTTCCACCTTCCAGACGCTCGCCCCCCTGGCACAGTCTGGGCCCTGCTGTGCCTGGGGAACTCCCTGCCACAGGGCGAGCTGGCCCTTGACCTGGGCCAGGTCAGCTGACCCCCGCTGGGCTCCAGAGAGGGCACCGGCCTAGCGGGAAGGAGGCAGCGAGGGTCAAAGCCTGAGCCAGGAACGAGCGGACGCAGAGCAGCGCCCGGAGCTGCAGTGAGGAGCCTGGGGGAAGCTGGTGAGAACTGGCCAGAGCTGGGAGCCCCTGTGAAGTGGGAGGCTGAGGCAGGGCTCCTGTTGGTGGGGGGGCTGGAGCGGGAGGGTTGATCCCCTGAGCAGGGGTGGGGAGGCAGAGGGGGAGGGAAGCCAGCTTTCGGGGTATTACTGCCATGGTGCCCAGGGGTGGGGGGTGTATCAGACCCTGAGATGATGTTCCTTTCATGGGCAGAAGACAGGGGAAACTGAGGCAGGCACACCGGGCAGGGCCTGATAGCCACCCTGTGGACGTGGGTGCGGGACGCCCCTTGTCCCCCTGGAGAGGCTGCACCCCCCGGCTCGCTGTAGGGGACACTCACCTTCAGGTCAGTGGGGAACTCCTCCTTCTTGACCAGGCCGGTGGCGGCCGCGATGTTCCCAGCCCCTGAGATGACGGCCCCCCCCAGCTGGGACGCCTGCTCCTTGGTCTTCTCAGCCACTGGAAGAGGCAGGCGGAGCCGCGTTACAGCCCGGGGGGGCCCCTCGGCTGCCAGGCAGGGCCCGGCCGGGGCTAGCGCTCGGGAGGCCTGGCCTCACACTACTAGCCCCAGCAAGCGCGAGGGAGCTCAGGCACCTCCCCCCACCCTGCATGTGCCCTGTGGGGCAGACTCAGCCCTCCCCCCATCAGGCGTGGGGCCATGGGGCGGCTGGGTTTCAAGTCCTGGCCCAGCAGCTCCGAAGCCCGTGTTCTGGCCCCCGTTACATAACGGGCTTTAGGCCGGTGACATCACAGCCCCCGATTAGCCTGAGCTCGTTAGCGCAGCCACCCATGCGTGGCACTGGGCCGGGGGAATAGAGCAGCTGGTACCTGAGGTGACGCCTTGCACCACGCCTTGGGTTTTACTTCCTAGAGAGAGGGAGAGAGAGGGGGTTAGAGGGGCTGGTGCCAGGCGGGGCCGTCTGGGGCTGCCCGCGGAGGGGCCGTGGTGTCCATACAGGCGTGTGGGGCCACCCTGGCTGCAGCCACACCGCATGGCTCTGCTGATGCCCTGCGACCCAAACCCGCGGGCACGGCAGCCTGGCCCAGCTCCTTCGCTGACCCTCGCAGGGCGCGCCAGGCCGGCTCACGTCAGCACCTCCTCGTACTGCCCCCCCGACACGCACCCCCTCTCACCCCAGAGGCTGGCATCTCCCTGGCGATACCCCATGGGCAGGTTGGGGGTTCCTGGCTGTCCCGGGGGTGCCCTGCACACGTGGTCTCTGCACTCAGCAGCGGGGGGCATGCGCTGAACGGGGCTGCAGAGAATAAAGCAGCCTCGGAGCTGACCGCCAGGGAGGCAGCCGGGGTCTGGCCAGGACTCGCTGCCCCCTGCTCTGGGGTGGAGGCTGCTGCAAGGAGGAGCCGTTGGGGTGCAGGGGGGGCCCTGGCCTCTGGCTGCTGCTCACCCAGCTCCCTGTGCAGGCCAGGACGGGGGGATGATGGCTAGGAGAATTGCTGTATCAGGCCTGCCCCTCTGTAGGGGTGGCCCCAGCGGCTAGCAGGGGAGTGCCAAGGGCAGGGATCCGGGGTTGGGGGACGGGGTGGTGGTTCTGGAGCAGTGGATGGCTATTGGGGGGGGGCAGGACAGATGCCTGGGGGAAGGGCACTGACCGGCTGAGTGACTCCATGAGGGAGAAGCTACCCAGCCTGTGGACGTCTGCTGGGTCCCCCAGGGACTCCGCGAGGGCCGTCCGAGAGGGGCCGTTAGCGCCTGTTTTCAGGGGAGCCATGTCCCCGTGTAGTGAGCGTGCGACGCCGTGCGGGCTAGGTGTCCCCACGTGCTCCCTGGGCCCCGGCAGAGCGAACCGAGGGGGGGAGGGGGCTTCTGGGACAAGGTGCGTTCAAGCTATGGGGCAGCCTGAAGGGCCAGCTCTGAGCTAGGGGCTAGGCAGCCAGGCCCTGGGGGGCAGCTCAGGTGGGTGCTAGACCCATCTGCACTCCAAGAGCCTGGGAACCCCCAGGTTGGGGCAGTGGCCAGCAGCCTGAGTGGCTGGGAGGGGGAGCTGTAGGGAGGGGGAGCGCCGTGGGGAGGGGGGAGCCGTGGGGAAGGGGAGTACCATGGGGAGGGGGGAGCCGTGGGGAGGGGGACCGCCGTGGGGAGGGGGACCGCCGTGGTGCTGCTCTGGGATGGGGGCAGGCGGGCACGTTGCAAAGCCAGCACTGGCGGAGCCCAAAGCACACCGCAGGACAGCGGCCCCTGGGCTGGGGGCAGTTTCGGAGCAGAGATCAGCCCAGGCGGGCAGAGCACAGAGACCAGGCTGTGATGCTCAGCCGGGGCTCCAGGAAACAACCCTGGGAGCATCCAGCCATGGCATGAGACAGGCCCCGTATGGAGCAGCTCGGAGCAGACGGGCTTCCCGGGCGCCCGCTGTGGTGAAGCTGGAGCGGCAGGGGAATGGGAGAAGCTTGAACAAGACCCACAGGGAGCGCCGCCCACCTGAGCCTGAGGAGCCCCGACTCCGCCCAGCACGGACGCTTCAGGGATGCCAGCTGGTGTGTGCGGTGGGATTCTGCTCGCGCCCAGCACGAGGACAGCCCCAGCAGCACATGGAGGGGCCAGGGCAGAGGCTGCCCTCCAGCAGGAGGCAGCCAAATGTGGCATCTGCGGGAAGAGGACGTGAGGGCATTACACAGGGTCCCCGCTGCCTTGGGCCCGAGGCTGGGCGGGAGCAGGTCTAGCGCAGCGGTGAGTCACTTACAACGTCTGACACCCGCACGCGGACTCGGGCTGCCTTGACACGTGACTGAATCCCGCGGGCATCGAGGGGCACCGTCCTCACCCACTGGGAAGCCCAGCTCGCTTGCCAGGAGTTAGTAATGGATTCCCGGGGCAGGTCGTGATCAATCGGGGCAAGCCCTGGCTTTCCAGGTCACACGGCGTAGCAGAAACGTCAGCGTGAAGAGCAAAGCGTTAGCACATCACAGCACCCCCAGGGCTCGTTAGCATCTCCAGGTCAGAGACCCCTGGGCAGAGGGACCAGACCCTCAGTGCCAACGTCCAGCAGGATCCTCGAGCCAGAGACAACAAACGCTGGGGTAAGAGACACAACCGCTGAATGCCTGAGTTTGCCAAGAGCCTGAGACCATAGCTGTGAAAGGGGAACTGCCCTGGGCAGGGCCATTCCAAGGCCCATGGCTCTGGGGGACCCTGCCAACCCGGCCCCAAGGGGACAGAAGGGCCCAAGCAGATACTCCTCAGCGGCTGGGGTGCCTATTGGGGGACCCCCCACCTCATGGGGGAAGAGAAGGACCCCTGCAGTTTCCAAGGGGAGTGGCCTGGGGCCGTGGGGCAGGGATGGAGGGTGTGGGGTTCCCAGTGCTCACCCCACATCACCCCCTGGCTGGGGCCAGCCCCAGGGGAACTGCGCCTCCCCCCACTCCTGAATCCTCCTCCGGGAGTGCTCTGGAAAGGAGACCCAAGCTGCCGAGATCGGCCACGCAGGTCACATGGGACTGGTGCCGCCCCTGCTTGGCTGGTGGATTCCTCGAGCTGGGGTTGGGGGCTCCCTGGCTGGGCGTGTGGAGTTCGCGGGAAGCAGGGATTGCCCGCGATGGCTGCCCCGTGTGCCCACATTTGCTGCACGGCCCCCGAGCTGTGGCTGGGATCCTGCTCGGGTCTGCTTCAGCTGGGACGGAGGCACTCAGCTCTGGGGCCCGGGGGCTCTGCCCGGAACAGCCGGGACCCATGGAGGTGGGAGAGGCCACAGGGTAACATCTCCCTTCCTTTCTGCTCCCCCAGCCCTGCCGGTGCCCCTCAGCCCCGACCCGCAGCCCCTGCTACGCCAGCCCTGCGCCAGCTCCCTCCCACAGCACAGGCAGCGCTCCCCCCTGCTCCCCCGACACTCAGCGCTCCCCCCGGCTCCCTCCCCTGTTCCCTATGGCACCCCCTGCTGGGAGCAGCTGGGAGCGCCTCATCCAGCCAGCTCTCCCGCCCCACGCCTTAGGGGCACTCCCTCTGGGAGATGTGGGCGGAGGGATCTCTGTCTCCCTGGAGTGGGCTCTGGGGCAGCTGTTTGTTCCTCTCCCCACCAGCTCGTCAGGACTAAATCAAATCCCTCCCCAAACTGGCCTCTGGGCCCCACATCACCCACGTGCAGGGGCTCTGCTCAGGTTGAGGGGCGAGAGGTGCCAAGCTGTGGTGGGGCAGGCTCCCACAAGCTGAGCCCCCAGCCCCCCTGATGGCCCCTCGGCCTGCCGGGCGTGAATCCCCGTGAGCAGAGCCCAGGCAGGGGGTTGGGAATTAGACTGAGCTGCCAAGGTCTGAGCCCTCCCCAGGGGTGGAGGGGGTGGGGGGGCAGTGCCAGAGCAGGCCACGCCTGTGGCGGGGAGGGGGGCTGGGTCCAGGGGTGTCTGCAGAGCAGCCCCGCCAGGGACTTCACACTCCACAGCCCTGGAGGCTTTGGCTGCCGGCCCCACGTCAGAGCATCGCCCTGCTCTGCATTCCCCCCTGGCTCACCCCGGCTCGAACACTTCACAGCAGCGCCTCCCTCTGGGCCGGGCCAGGACTGGAGCCGCCCCCAGCACTGCTGCCCCGCGCCCCACAGTGCCACCTGCCGGGTCGGTCACTAACCGCTGGAGGATCTCAGGCGGGGTGGGAGCCGCCTGCCCCTCTGCCGTTCAGTCGGCGTCTCCCCCAAGGAGCTTTCCTGGCCCTCGTCACCCCACGGCTGAGTGACCTCACCACCAAACACGACTGACCGGGCGACCGGGAGCGCTTCCCCCGTACAGCCTGGTCCGTACAATCCACAGCTATGGGCCCAGGCCCGTGGGCAGGCAAGGGGCAGCAGGCCCCAGACACTCCTTCATGGCCCGATCCTCAGCACATGCGGGTGCTGCTGCTTCCCGGCAGGCGGGGCCGGGCTCTGCGGGGGCCTGGGCACAGGGGGCTCTTGGCTCTGTGCCAGTCTGAGCGGCCTGAGCTTTGTGTGTGTGTGTGTGGGGGGGGGGGCGGCGCAGGCACCAGCCAGCCAGGACAGAGCGCATCTCCTGCATACAGCCCGGGCGCCGGCAAGGCCCCCCCGCCAGTGCCCCCCGGGGGGCCAGACCTGGGGCCGCCAAGGGCACCCGGCGCAGGGAGCAGCTGCCTCCGTCAGCTGGGGAGCTCCGCATGGCCTGGGCCGGTCTGCCATTGCACTGGGGGTGGCAGGTCCACGGATCGCCCTTGGAGATGAGGGCAGCTGTGGGTCACGTGCCAGGGCCTGGGACCCCCTGGCCAGGGTGACCAGATGTCCCGATTTTATCGGGACAGTCCCGATACTTGGAGCTTGGTCTTATATAGGTGCCAATTACTCCCCACCCCCGTCCTGATTTTTCACCCTTGCTCTCTGGTCACCCTCCGTCCTGCCCTTTGCCAAGGGCTGAACCCCCCCACCGCCTGTCTGCTGCTCCCAGCCGCTGGCAGGGCGGGGAGCCCCCGGGACCCCCAGGGCTGGACGCAGGCACCGGGCCCCCAGAGCCTCCCCCCCCGCCCGTCTCTCGCCCCAGGCGGCTGCCACCCGGAGCCCCTCTGCGCACCCACAGCCCGGGGTGCCCGGCCCCGGCTCTGCCAAGCCCCCCGCAGCCTTACCCACGTACAGCACCCCCTCCTTGGTCTTCTCCGCAGCCTCCGCCACCCCCTGCTTGGTCTTCTCCGCCGCGGCGACCACCCCCTCCTTGGCCTTGGACAAGCCCTTCATGAACGCGTCCATGGCGGCGGCTCTGCATGGAGACAGACCCGCAAGATGGCTCCGGAGCCCGGCCGCTGCCCGCGGTGCCCACCAGCCCCCCCGTGCCAGGGCAGCCCGGGCACAGCTGTACCCCCCCCCCCCCCC